TGATTTTCAGATCAGACACATATTTGCTTTACATTTCTATTTTAGTTCATAATTATTATTATTATTGCTTTCTCCTTCACCACATAACCACAAGTTATGTACCTTTTAATTAATGTAAGAAAAACTCCCCGTCTTTACTTTTTTAGGAAAATATGAACGTGTTTGTCAGGGAACCTCACAGAAAAAGACGTCTAAAAATGATATACCTCATCAAAACGAAATACCACATTGTCTGAGGCACCTGCCAGAGTTTCATGGTCCTCTGCCGCTCCAACAGCAGTCCGGTTCTTCACAGAACACATAAGGTTTTGTTATTTATATTTTCTAATTGGTCTACAGTGTATGAACAAGGTAAGTCTTATGTCTTTTAGACCAATGTGGAGGTTTGATTCCAGCATAATAATAACAATGGCATCTTTAGATCAGCAGGAGTGAGTGATAAAACATAACGCTGACAACACAATGCTGCGTTCAACCTCTGACCTGCACCGTATTCCACTATGGGCTGACATAAGCGTGCACAGAATGAAGAGTGTAGTGTTACCATTGTGTATTCTCTTCACTGTACCATCTGGTGACTCAGACCCTGCACTCTGTCCTGTCCTTTGCTCTCTCTCCCTCTCTCTCTCTCTTTCATGCACTTTCTTTCTTTGCATATAGATGTATTCTTTCTCATTCCCCGTTGTTTTTGTACTGCACGGCGGGTCCTCTGGTGAATGGAGCAATTGTGGTAGTGATCTGGTGACTATGCAGATGTGGGCAGGATGACTTGGGTGTTTTATGACAAATGTTTGGGCCCCTTTGTGTCAGCATCACAGCGGCGCCTATTGTCTTGGTGAACAAACAGTGTTCAAATATAAAGAAGAATTCAGAGGGATGTTTCTGGCATTTGCAGCAAAATGCTGCAATGTCTGTGTCTGTGTGTGTGTGTGTGTGTGTGTGTGTAATAATTAGACAATACAACAAGCTGTCTCATCTCTGCACCATTTCGTCTGCTTACAATGCCATTACCGGTGCCAGGCAGGAATTAATAGATCCTTTGACAGCGTCTTAGGAGCACAATAACACAGATCAATGCCCACATCCATCTGCAGGGGTTCTCACCTCCTCTTCTTTACAGTACTGCTCTCGTACTAACTTTATAGCCCACCTGGGCTGCAGAATTACGGCTGCACTCTCCTTTCCAATCATGCAGGATGAGGAAGTTCATTCTTAAAAGTTTTAGAGATCTGTTTCTGCTCTCCAACAGAATTACGGCGCTCTGGAGTGCACCGTAGCCCTCCTCTGACCGTAACACTTTCTCTAATGTGCCGTCCATGCAGATTTTTCATTTGTTTCCCCGAAATTTCCCAGAGGGTTGAGATTACTGACTCAAGAAACCCATGCAACTGCCCCTGCACACTTTGCCGTATTCCACCGCAACTGGTCTACATCCAGAGTCATTCTGTAAAAGAATTACTTGATAAACATAAGAGCTAGCGCTGAGATTTCTATTTGATCTAGCCCCCAAAAGAGGGAGGCGTTCACCTCTCCTGACCCAGCATTGTTCAACTAGACTGGTATGTGTCCTTACATAACAGAGCACCAGATCACCACACTTGGACAACATCTGGTTTGCTTTGATGGAACTCGAGGATTCTCAGATTGCACATCCGAGCTCAAAGGAGGTAAAAAAGAAACAATCTTGTTGTTGGGTTTTAATTTGTAGCAGGAAAGAACAGTCAAAGGAGTCATAATATCCAGTTTTAAAAAAAAGAAATACACAGACTAGCAGTGGGAGCAAAATCAAATTTCCATGAAATCTGTTGAAGATACCTCACAATCCCTCAAATCTGTTTCTCCTAACCTTTGACAGCAGTAAAGGTGAGGCACATTCTCCAATCCTTGAGTCAACATATTTGGCTTTAAGAAGCAGAAGAATCAGTTTGACTAGTGGATTTACAGACATATGTACACATTTAAGGGAGAGTGAGGGAAAAGTTTGGTGCATGCCCAACATACCACAGCTGGGGTGGATCCTCGGGTAACAAGCCGAACATCTTACAACGTTGACATGGGTGGTTCTACCCCTTCATTTTAAGCAGTTTATTTAGGATACAATGGTCTGATTCTTGGCTGGGTACTAAATGGGTACTACACTCCTGACCCAAAGGGCACATCAAATCTCCACTTACCCTTCTGCTTGTTTACTATTATACCTCAGCAACTTCAGCAGGTTTGGCCACTAATGGACCTCTGTCTTAACAGGAAAATACAGACTGGCAGCACTGGCTGCTTAACTACCAGTTAGAGGCTGAGAGTGAAGCTCAAGCTAGGACATAGGTTGACCTGATACTGAATGTTCACGAATGTTCATGTTGTTAACGTAAAGTGTAAGTTTTCACTGTAATTTGTTGGGGTTACGTTGCTTAGTTGCAAAACTGGCTGCTTCTGTGACATTAAAACCCAGTGAAGTGCTGATGGCGAGGTCTCTTCACATTGACTAAAGTGTGGTGGGCGGCCACTCATCTTTCCCCAGGGAGAGAGGGAGGGAGTTATTTCAATTAGTTCAACACTGCCTCGACAAACAGCCCAAGCTGCTCCCAGTGGTGTCTGCAGCCCAGCCAGAGAAAGCTAATCAAATCAATGGAGGACGGATGTAGACAAAGAGTGAAAGAGGGAGGTGGAGCGGTGATGTAATGGGTAGAACATGTCTGGAGTGGCACACTACTATATTATTTATCATGCTTGCATGTCTTTTACCACGAATGTTGTATATTCAGTAACGGAACCTAGGACGTTTTAATATTTAACCAAATTACATTTACATGAATCTGGTTGTGTTGGCGTTTTATTTTTGGCAAGAGTACCAAAAAGTGCTGCACCCAGCCGGCATGTTCATTAGTATCCACATGGGATTACTAGGCCTATATAGCTTCTAAGTCCCCAAATATTGGGTCACATGTGGTAACCACTTACCTTTTGTCCATAAATGGGTGAATCATATGAACGAGACAATGAGGTTTAGCCCTTTGAGCTCAAGTTTGGTCCCATGAATTAATGAAGCCTGTTTTTTGTTTTTTTCTGAAAAATAAACGTGGCATATGTTATAGGGTGGTAACTCTAGTCAACTTGACAAATATTAAAGACAAGACAATTTATCCTCAGAATGGCAATGCTTCACAACTTATTTGTACTGTATCCTACTTGTTCCTTTATAAAGCTCCCTCCTCCCCCATCATGATGTCAGCTCTTGGCTTAAAAGAGGTAAGAGCCCCTCTTATAGTTGACATGGTGACCTGTAATTAGTGCTGCAGGGGCTCAGACCCTGCTCCAACTGCTTGTCAGAGAGAGAGAGCAATGTGGTGTACATGAAAAAGGCGTAGAAGAGTGCCTGCTCAGGTCAAGCTAAAACCTCGTCTGGCTCAGTGTGTGTGAAGCTTTGAAGTGACAACAGAAAAGGACCTATGAAGAACTAAGCTCACCTGTAATCTATTTCCTGGCCAAAAAAGAAGGAAAAAAAGAAAATGCAAACCACAAATACTTAATGTTGGGCTCCAACAATTAACTGCTTGAGAAACTGTTGAAACACAGTGCAATAAGATATCATCATCTTGCCCTATTTGGTCAAGGATCATAAGTACCTAAGTGAGAAGTTACTACTGCTGGTGATTACACACTACAGTATAGGAACAGGAATAAAGTCCAGTAAAGTAAATGTAAGTAATGTGGTCAATTTTTAACCCAATATTAGTTTCTGGTCGTGATGAAAGACTATTCAGAACAGCAGGCAGTACTTTTGTGTATTTGTGATGAAAAGGACACAGAAAATGTGCAACATTTGTCAGGATTTCTTCACTCGCCAGAGAACGCTTTGGGTGGTTGTTGATAATTATTGCTTTACTGCTTGATCAATCTAGTTCATCAATCATTTGCTTGATAGAAATAATTGGTCAATAAATACAGAGATTTCTTTGTGCGTGTTCTTATCACATTATCTCTTATAATTATTGATTAAGTTTAAATAACCTAAACAAAAACTTAAAATTCTTATTTGCTGTATTGCTGGTTTTATTTTTAATCTTCTTGGTGTAAATGGATGTAGCCTAAAGTGGTTTACCTATAAAACAGAAAATGTGGCCCAGAGATCTTTGTAACATTATTGGCAAACTGTTAACAGCGCATCCACAGTATTTGGCCTAAGAATAGTTTTATGACTTTTAATGGCTTTTATGTTGACATGGCAATGCTGTGGCCTGCACTTGTGCCATCAACCCATGTCACATGTGGGTCATACTAAAATGTCAACTGTACTGGATATGGACCACATATTTTGCTATCTGGGTGCAAAATACATTTTTACTTGTGATGCTTTAAGTTACAGTGCCATAGGCAGACGTGTCATAGTATATATCATATGTAGGCGGCTTTAACTAAGTTTTAAAAGCCCTACTGATTGAAAGATTTATGACATCCTTACAGTTTAGTACTTTTCATAATCTGGTTTAAACCAGTTTCTGAAGCAACCGTGTGAAACTATGTACTGTTTTTACAACACTTTTTTAAAATAAGAATATATACTTGCATCTGTACAGAGATAGTGATTAAAATAACCGACCTACATCACTCAAGTTTTCATTTATTCTTTCTTGGGCGCGCTTTTGAGACATACAGACGACGCTGTTGCTATTTCTCCCCACCGCGACTTCCAAAATTAATGCGGCAGAAACGCAGCAGCAGCTCGGGTCTGTAGGAATGGAATGAGAGGCAGCCGTGGACCATACCAAGTCTGTCCCCAGGCAGGGGGTTCATACTGCGACCGCTAGATACTTAGAAGGTAGCAAACATACAATAATATAATAACATAAATGCCAGGCAGTATTAAAAGAATGTTACTATATAATGTGTTATTATTAAGATTTAAAATGTTGATTGTATAATTTTTCAGGGCTTTACTTTTTATCGCTCCCCCCTATATTTCGATTTACATCCTCCGCACATGTCCTCCTATCTGCTCCGTAGAGTTCCAGCGGGTACAGAATGTGGTAGTGAGGGAAAAGTAGCAAGAGCTTCGAGTCCTCTTCCGAAAACTTGGTGAATTCTTCCTTAACCGTGTGGATTTTTACTTCATATTACTTTTTTACAAACTACTCAGAGAACCCCATTTGAATTTCTTGGAATTACACACATAAAGGAAATACTTATTCTCGCAAAACGGTAAGTTTTTCCCATTTTGCCATGCTGGATGCTCTCTCCTTGTTTTAGTGTATATAACCCTATTTATTCGTCATCCTTGAGTTTTTTTTTAAAGCAGTTACTTAAATGCCACCACTTATACATTCATTCAAATAGATTTTTCTTTTCTTTTTGAAACCAAGTCGAATTTTGTTTAATGGTTTTTTTTTTACAGCAAGTTTGGCATTTGGTGTAGATTTTAGGGAGTTTTAAATCTGTAAGTGAGCCATTACTGAGTAGCATTGGAGGTGCTGAGTTGTGTTGCCTTACAATGATGATGCAGCCAGGATGTTTTACATGGAATTTCCCATCGACAGTCTCAGCGGAAACATGTTTTTAAAGATTTTAAATCATAATTTCATTTATTTTTATAATGAAAGAGACTTGTTTATTTATGAACCACTAAATCGTTATCTACTACATTGTGTCTACTTAAATGTCTGCTTTTTTGTACAGTTTCCCCCCCCCAACATTTTAATTAACTGGATGTTAACATGTTTTCTTTTTGTGAATTGATTTAGTTTTGGGAAATGTATTCTTCTTCTAATGTACTAGGAAATGATAAATGCTAACCAACTAACTAAATAGGAAATTGATAAATGCTAACCAACTAACTAAATACTAACACTAGTAACCTTTTAATGTAAGTCAGCACAGTTTTACAAATTCCAGTGCGGGTGAAGCTGAGACCACAAATTCTTACATAAAGTTACATAATTATCATAGAGAGGTAATTTACATTACCAATAATTTTTTTTAAAGTATTGTTTTAAAACCATGTTCATTTCATACAATTTACCAGTTAAGCTTTCACCAAACAGCTTTCCAGATTACCTTAAAAAATGGGCTCCCCCTTGTGGTGCTTCAAAATAAATCACTAAGACTTAATGTTGGTAAGTGGAACAGCTTGGGCAATTAGTGGTGTGTTTTCCCCAATATTGTTAATTTACTTCAGTCAACATTGTAAGCATGTTGAAAGTCATGTACCGTCTTGTCGATTGTGTAACTTTTGTGTTTTCCTCCTTCTGATATCATTGTTTAATTATCCGTCCTATAATTCCTCTGAACCACTGTTGTTGATGCCAGAACCTTAATACCACGGTACCAATGTTGGTCAGGCCCTTTTAGTTTTCTACAGGTAAACTGAATATGTTATTTATTAGCTCAGGAATTCCAACAATTTTTCTTCAGTTGAATATTGACAAACAGGTCCGGAGGAAGGATGGGAATCCTCTTGTTTTCTGCCTGTTGATACCATTTGCATGCACTAGCTTAGCCTAAAAAAACAAATAAAATTAGTTTAGTTTTATGTCACTCCTTTTTTGCCTTGCCCATTTCCCAAAAACATCATTCAGAAGAAAAGTATTTCCTGTAAGACTGCAATAAGTACGTCTTAAATGTTTTTGGAAATGACTAATCATTTGAGGTCTTTCTGTAATTTAACTGAGAAACTGATTTACACCTTTTCTCCCTGTTCATGTTTTATGTACAGAGCACCTGTCAAAGAATCAAGTCCACACAATTGTGAATAATTAAAAGAAAACATTAGTAACAGCTCTTATTTCCTGAGGCTATAGGCTTGGCATATTTGCCGAGCCCATAGCCATAGGGCGCCTCAGCTGCAAACATGGATGTTACAGTATGTTTGGTTGTTTAAAATAATCTGTTAGTCATATGTTCCTTGCTAAGACACTTCATAATGAGAACATTAATACAATGTAATAAACCCTGTTGCAAAATGATACGGTGGTGAGTTTGGGAATTGCCCATCAGGAGAGTTAACACTTGAATTTCATCCAGTACACATGGCAGACTAATCAGCTGCTGTAGTATATATGTCTGAAGACCGCAGAGCTCCCTGTTCCAGATGTAAATGTAGAGAAGAGGAAGAAAAACAACTTGTGTTTTTGCGACTGTGACACCGCCTTGGCTCTTGGAGTAAATGAAAGAGAGATGGTGCAGGTGCGGCCTGGACAGGAAGAGTGCTGCCAGAGTAGGAAACAAAAAAGGAAGTGTGGGAACAAAGGTATTTGGTGACTCATTCATTAGATGTGNNNNAGGTGTCGCAGTAATGCGAACATGGAAAACCACAAATTTCACAATATAACCTCCAATTCTCTTTGTTTTGATTCCTTATCGTTGGCGGATTTACATTCATTTTTCCCTCCTGTTACAAAAAATACCACACATTACACGTGGCATTGTTTGAAACCAGGGGTGGGGCAGTGTGATTCAGTCAGTGGCTTGTTCCAAAATTCAAGTATGGACAAATTTAATGTGACCCGCTGGATCTACAAAGATATTTAATATACAACCCAGGACTCAAGCTAAGACCTTAATTTGGTTATTCTTT